TGGAATAGTGTTAAGCACTGTTAAAAAGGGGAGAAAATAGATAAAAAGCGAAAGCGTACATGAAAAGCACACACTGAGATCAAAAGGAACCTCGATCTGGAAGTGAAGTGGCTCCTTTTTTTGCAGTTAAGACACATAAGCATTTTAACAGACAAATGTTCAATGAAATTGTTACTAGGCTTACCGTACTTTCTTTCACCTTGAGTTCCGAAAGAGTACCTTACGGTGTCCTATGAAAATCAGGGCATATATTTAAATATAAAATAGAACTTGTACGTACCTCTCCACCGAACGCCCATCCCATTATTAAAACTTTGCATTGTTTGAAATCATCCGGCATGTTGTCTGTGTTACAGACTCCTCCCTTTAAATGCAAGTCTGTTTGGTTGAGATCGTGATAACAGCCATAAACGTTCATGTGGTGGATCAAAGCTTCGTGTCCCGGTTGAATGATAGGCTCTATCTGAAAGCAGAATGCGTTAACATTTACAGTTTTTTTTTTTTTTTTTTTTTTTTTTTTTCATTTCTGGTCGGATAAGGAATGATACAGGGGCTAAGAAAAAAAGCTTAAATACAGTATCCCCAAGCTGCGAGCCTCGTATCACAAAAGATATCGCTTTTCATGTTATTCGAATTCTGACATCCAAGTATGTCACTCCAGACTGCCGCTGTAACTGTGTCGTCGTCATCGAGGGGTAAAAAACGCGACTTTAAGGAAACCAACCAGACGCGTACTACTTGAATAACAGCTATTACAGCCAAACTAAGGGCAGAATGTATCCAAAAGTAAGCACGCACATATCAAGCACACACATGTTAGCACGCATGTTTCTCATTTACATTAACCCTGAAATGACAAAAAAGGTTTGTTTTTTCTTACCCTTATCAAATGGTGTATTCCATTAAATTCTGGTAACTTGAATCCCTGGCACCAATACGTGGTATCAGTTTTATTCTGTATATGAACCTGAAAGAGAGATCATACCTTGAACCATACATTATAAGTTTAGACTAATTTGAAAAATAGAAACTAATTATAATGAGAATTGGGTTAATTAATTAACTGATTAGCTAATTAATGAATGATTTATGAGAATTGAATTGCCTAGGCGGAGGTCTACGCTCTGAGGTATTTGCTAGTTGAAGCTGAAATGCTTCATATACAGCAATATTACATGTATGTAGTGCCATTGTTATGAGCCACGAACCTGTATTAGGCATTATGAAACAAAAACGAATATAAAATTATTCCAATCGCCCCTCGTTGTGCCTCTTAGACTATGAAGCATTGTACATATTTCAATACCTTATCGTTTATTATATCAATGGCATAAGTGTCATCAGGCAAAGGCTCCACGTCTTCTTTCTTTACTGGATTCAGTAGGTAGGCACTCTTGGCACCACGGTTTGTCACGTGATATTGAGGACCAATTGCTGGGTCTGGATCGCCGTCACGGAACGCCCACAACAAGCGCACTGTTCCCTCCTACAAAATGGGTACAGCATAGGTAACTTATGCACGTGAGTATGAAAAGCCTTAGTCGGTGTTATGATACACTGTATTTGTGGCTTTGTGATTTTTAACCACTCATGGAATGGATTGTTTTTGTGATGAGTTTTATATCTTTAGCGCCAGTAGAAATAAATGATTTTCACATAGACCGGTGCTATTCTAAATAAAGCTGAAAGACAAAAGAAAATGTACACAAATGTTTGGTGCACTACGTATTTATTTTCTTAAAACAAACGTCCATATCCATCCGACATAGCACTATTCACTATTCCACTAAAAGTGGCTGTATCCAGTGCGTATGTATTTCACCGTGACTATTATCGTAAAATTTAATCATCATGTAATGCAAATAGCCTAAACCGGTAAAATCATCGGAGAAAATATACGAATCCATTTTTTTCTAACCGAAAGTTCATGTGAGTTCAAAGGTATGGTAAAAACAATGATTTAACCAGACAACGGCGTAGGGTCACAATAATACATACACACACTGGACAGTAGAAGTGTCACCCCCTAAAATCAGAGTAATAAAAGTAGGCAGATCTTGGGTAGTTATAATACCTGATCTACTTATAATGTGACTAATGAGTATAAAACCGCTATTCCATGGAATTGTATTGTTGGTCTTGTACATGTACAGCAAATGTTATTCCTTTTTTCCTCCAACATGGCAAGATACAGGCAATTATCTAACGATTATAGACGTCAAGTTATTAACCTGAAGAGACGGAATATAAGCAATGTCAGAATATCGATACAGTTGAATTGTTCAGTCAGAACCGTGCAGAGGGTCTGGTCTCTGTAAAAAAACAATGGATCAAGAGACAAATTGCCTCTGATGGGTCGTCCAAGAAAAACTACTGGCCGTGAAGACCGACGACGGATTTTGATGTCCAGGTTGTCAAGGTTTGACATTGCTCGTCAAGCCTAGGTCCCAACTACGTTTTGGACGCACTGTTTTTAGGTTCCTTGCGCCCGGCTGGGACGTAGCTAGATCGCGGGGAAGAAATCAAGTAATTGGTGAAAAGTATCTACGTGCTGTTTGCGTTCAGTAGGGGTGACACTTCTATTGTCCAGTGTGTGTATGTATCATTGTGACCCTACGCCTGAAGGAACATAAAAATTACCGTAATTGTGCAGTCATTGTCGTCACAAGTCTCCAGCTTTCGTCTAAATCTCAATGTGGTAAACGTGCCGTTGTCAGTCCCTCCCAATATCTCCACGTCCTGGCTCTCATCTAGCAACGGTTGCTCTTCACCGATGGCATGGTAGTCCTATATAGTCAGATATATATATATAAGTCACAAAAGAAACTGTATGAGGTTTTTGAAAGCTTTGTCGGCCTTGTTTGATCTATTAAAGTTTTCGCTGAAAACAATTTTGTAAATTTTAAACTAGAGTAAGAAAATTTTAAAAAGAAAAGAAAAATGAGCAGTATTCTTCGTAAAAGCAAAGAGCACTGTCACAATCACCAAAATTTGTTAAAATGAATATTAATAAGAAGAAACGATTGATATAATTATCAATATTCCGGTGGAATGAAAACTTGGAACGCCCTGCTTTGCAGCTATTTTGATTAAGATTAAAATTTGAATGTTTAATATTTTTGTACTTATCCAGTGGGGTCTTAACCAATCCCCATCTCTAAAGGGATGGGGAGACCCCAGGCTCCCCAAAGCACATCGCATATTCTGTATTGCATGTCCCCCCGTTTCTAAAAATATCCATGGTCAAACAAGAAGTAGGATATACATGTATGCGTAGCATAGTTTTACGAGTGTCGTTTGGGGTCTCTCTGCGGTCAATGTAACAGGTGGAAGATAAACAACGGCGATGACGTACATTGCCTGTCATATTAATTTATTGATTCAAAGGTATTTTGAGTCTTGTTTTCTGAGACAAAAAAAGACAAACACTGATCAGATAAGATAGGCATGCTTTGTGCTGGCCGGTGCCTATACTATATGTAATCTGCATCATTTGCATAAGTGAAAGCAGTAGGTGCATAGGTTTCGTTAATATAATGCAAAGCTATAAGTATTCTCCTTACCGACGAATGCTTATCAAGGTAAATAGTACATGTACATGTACCTGTGCATGTCAAATGGATATTTTGGAAGAGGCATATCCTGTATAGGGTATGAAGAACATCGTAAATAAGAATATACCTACTTATACCAAAGTATCATTCATGCTTAATGCTTACTAGCTTACCAAGGTGACTGTCATTTACATAAATATTAACAAGCCCATTGTTCGGATTGAATGTCCCACCGTTGAATTTATTTACTACGCACATGATATGGGTATGTCAAAAGCAGGGTATGTTTACTGAGGGAAGTGAACGGTAAAAATCAAAACCTTAAATTATCCAACTTCTTGTGTCTTTCTTCTATCTTATCGTCAAGTGATATGTGTGTACCAGAAAGTTGGACATCAACTTCTAAAGCTCTTGTTACTAAGGACTGGCGACTGTGGAGATGACGAAGTTTGGCCCTCTTTCACCATTAAATAAGTGTGCCATAGTTCTTCCTCCAGTCCAGAATAGATACTGTCACACCAAGCGCATACTATGAGAAAAAAATGCCCAGACGCAGACAAAAGCGAGGGCTTCGTTAGATTTACGCAATATACGTCTCGAGAATGCCGACAGACATCGTTGTACGTTCGCATACCAGGAGGGAGATAAAATGTTTTGAGCGCGTTCAAAAAAATCCATACGCTACTTGTGCGTGTTTTTTCCCCCTTTTTTTACAGTACGCTGGAAGCAAGGTGATTTCATACGCTCAAAATTGTGTGTGCAATCACTTGCGATACACATAACGTACGTCTGCGCAAGGTGTGACACAGCCTTACAAGGATTGAACAGTCTGAAAATTAGGTTTTCTTGTATTTCTAATATACAAATTACAGGCCCGTAGCCAGGGGGGTCCGGGTGGTTCGAAAGAACCACCCCTTTTGCTGGGAAAAGGTCCACTCTGGGTAAAATTTGATCTAGGTGCATGAAGTTTTTATGGGAAAAGGTCCACTTTTTCAAAAAAAGAACCCCCCTTTTGAAATTGCTAGCTACGGGCCTGAATTATATTAAAAAATCGATTCTTTTACCTGTATTATGACTTCGCCATCATTTACCCATCCAATGATAATGTCTGATCCTGCCATACCGCCATTTGTTGAAAATCCCAAGGCCACGTATCCTGTAGTTCGCGCAGTGGTCTCAAACGTTATGTATTCTCCATTCACTTTCCAGCGAACGTAGTAATCCCCGTCTCTCAGGGCTGTATGGAGGGTGAACAGACTAACATCGCCAGAATCTTGTACGGTAGCCGCCCTATTCAAATAGGTTGCCAATAAAATGCAGATAAACTTTAAAACCCATCGAAAACACTCTGTGGCTCCCATATTTCTTTTAAAATGACGCTCGAGGGCTCTATCAGTCAATTACAAACTCTTACTTTTCTTGTCTCGAATACTTGAAGCTCTGCTAATCAGTGGGGGCAGCCTCTTTGAACGATGATGAAAATAGTTTAATTTTCTTTTCGCTCGAACGTCGTCCTTTAAATAGCTCAGTCAGTTGTCTGTAATCTATATTTATTTTATCTCACTGTCACGCTCCACCTCCCCTATGACGTCATCTAGGTGACAAAGGAAATATTATAGCGAGTCAACGTACATAAATAACAAAAGTAGCCCAAATTAAATTAACTCATTTTATGGGCAAAAATGTTCAGTAGCTTGCTAGTTGGATCATAAAAGAAAATTATCAAACACAAGCCGAAAAACTTTCATACCGTTAGCTTACGGCTAACCTAGATGTACGCCTTCTTCAGACTGATGTGAGCAGATGGTGACACTCATGTCTTACAAAGGGAAGGGTGGTCGATCTACCTGAAATTTATAAAAGGGTCCTGGCTGCTCTACCACCTAGCGGTCAGTGAGTGTCAGCATCTGCTCATATCAGTCTGACGAAGACCTGTGTCCAGTTTGGCCGTTAGCTAACGTTTTTCGGTTTGCGTTTGATAATTTTCATTAATAATCTATTTTATATTTCACATATCATCTGTTTTTATGATTTCTTCTAAAAATCATTTGATCATAACAGCGGTCATCATTATACTGTTATTGCATACTTATAGGTTCAAAGTTTTCATTAATAGGTTGATGCTAAAGTATTGCATGAAAATATAATAAGCATCACAGCTTGTTTCCTTACTGAAACGTACTACTGGTATAATATACACACACTAGACAATAGAAGTGTCACCCCCTGAATCAGAGTAATCATAGTTATAATGCCTGGTCTACTTATAATGTGACTAATGAGTATAAAACCGCTGTACCATGGAATTGTATTGCTGGTCTTTTTGTGAAATTTGATGTTACTAAAATGATACCAGGAGCATATCATTCCACAGTCATTTATCTCCCCCAAAGTACTGGTTCAGTAGGGGTGGCACTTCTATTGTCCAGTGTGTGTAGATACCGGTAAAGATGACAGCATTGATAACTGGATTGACAGCGCCGTTAGTGTCACATTGTTATCTGGCAAAATTTGCTACTAACCCCAGGGAACAAAAGGTCTGGCACTTAACAACCAAGTTGATAAAATCACAAAAACGAGGGTAGAAAATAAATTATACTTTCCTAACGATGTCTTGTTCAGATTCTTGACTAAGGGGTGCGTTACTGGTGTCAAGGGCCAAGTTCTGAACTTAGGGGTTTGGCATAACAATGGACATTCCTCTCGATTTCTGCTCAAATCCAATGAAGCATCATGATCAGTTGCCAAATTTTGCGAAATTTTCAGTATCTACAGGTTGTGTTGTTCTATGCTTGGGGTCTCTTCTCTGCCGGCGGTTAATCTGGGACACCTGTGCGGCCTGTCATCGTACCTAGACTCACTTTTGCAAGTGCCATAAACACATTAAAAATAACCTTGTCGCTCAAAGTTATTCTATCATTATTGGCTTTTATGAACATAGTTCCAGCCTAGATTATAACCCCGTATAGGCAACCGAGCAAGGGAAAAACGAGTACTGAACTGCTTCTCGCTTCTTTACTCCCGATTTTGTTTAATTTAAAGATGACAGATGTGGAAGACATAATGTTTTTTATGTTTAAAACATTCTTGTCATACCGTGTATATACTTCGATTTACAGCGTTTTTTTTTTTAAATAAATCATATGGCAGGGATTATTCTTAATAACTTTATAGGGAATGTAATGCATTTGGCATGGTGTTTTAACCATATGATTTTTTATGATTTAAGGAAGGTCAGGCCTTATACATATTCTACAATATACAATTAATGTTGGACGTCAAAATATTGCCCTAGATTTACAATGTAGAGCAGACAACTTTTCATCACTGAGTAAGGTGCGAGTGGTGACGTAGCTGCGCTAATTACCAGATTGTGCATTGCGACTTTGTGTGGAACAACTAATGCAATTTTCCAGTTTGTTGGCTGTGCCAATATATTTTGCCACTAGCTTGATTGTGCATTGAAACGCCCCGTGTAACATCTCAAGTATCTGCGCCGTTTTTGGGCAGGTGTGCTTGTAAGCCGTTCTCCTCCTTATCGTCACACTTGATAAACCACGAGTGGTTTTTACCATTAAATGTATATTGGTCTGCTTGTCTGTTTTGTTTGTTTGTTTTATGTCGTACTTGTAAATCACAATAAGTATGTTTGACCACCGTTGAACCTCACTAATAATTAACTTTGGCGACAGTGTGGGGTGACTTTATACAATTGACAAAATGTGCAGTGGGATGTAAACGTAACAGACTACGCCTGCATAACTCACCTTACAGCAAAGTCTTGATCATTGTAGTTTGGTAGTATTTTTAGGGAGTTTTTATGGGTGTCAACTAATCTGATAATAAATCGATTACTATTATCAATATTTTTATCATCATTACCCAAATAACTTTTTGTCTCGAAAAAAATATTGTGGAAAGGTTAATTTTGTTGGTAAAAGCTGAAATTCAATATCTTCGAGTAACTCGAACACATTTCCCGGGTCCAGAGTTACTTGAAGCCTTCTTTTAGTACTATTTACACTGTTCAAATAATAAAAATAATAATAATAATAATAATAATAATAATAATAATAATAATAATAATAATAATAATAATAATAAACTTTATTTCTATTTAAAGGGTAACATATTAAAATTAAACAACTGTCATATCACATGTTCTCTTTAATGTGTATATAACCACTTTGGTTGACGTCAAAAAGTGTAATTTAAATCAATCTTTCTTTAATTCTTTTTCAGTTAACTTTTGATTTTCTCAGTTGACGATTTTTTCTGTTCGGACACCTAATTTACACATTTTGTCCTCTATCTTAGAATTACACATAACAGCCACTGAAACGTGCAATGGTGTTTCCAAACAGTAAGGGTCAAGGATATTTACTTGTCTGCCAAAATAAGAGCATTAAGTTGCCTTTAAGTGTTTTGACACTTTAA